CATCTCTCAAACAAAACAATAGCCAATTCGCAACTCATAAATCTGTAAAATACTGTTGGAAGGAAAAACCAATGTCCATTATTTCTTAAGGCAGCTTTGCTTCTAACTGTGAAGCTGCTGTCTCTTCGTACCCTGATTTCACATGGGCTCTGTTTATATTAGGATCCTAGTGCGCATGAGATACAGCCATTGATAAAGGGGCTTTACCCATTTGGCCATCTCAGTGGTCCCAGGCCACATGGACAGTAGGGGATGTTGGCTACTTACATTGGAAGAAAAGCTTCCATTTGTAGAAACAAAGCTCATTTCCCAATGCAAACAGCTGTTGGGAAACATGATGTTGCCCATTGAACCTCCACACCTCCTCACGGGCTGAGTATCAGGTAGCCCCAGGCAGGCTCAAGATACAGCTTAGAAAAGTTACTTTGTGGACTCATGCCTTATCCATGCACGCCTGTCCTTACTGATTGGAGAATTTGGATTTGTAGTAGAATCATAGAAGTATGCAGTTGGAAAGGGCCTATAAGGCCATCAAGTCCAACCCCCTGCACGGTGCAAGAATACAAATCAAAGGATATCTGCCAGGTGGTGGTCTACGTCTCTCTTGAATTCCTTCAGTGTTGGAACGCTCGTCACCTCTCACGGTCATTGGTTCTGTTGTCAAACTGCTCTAACAGTAAGGAAGTTTTTCCTGATATTCCATCGAAATCTGGCTTCCTGTCACTTGAGCCCATTGTTGCGCGTCCTGCACTCTGGGATGATCGAGAACAGACCCTGTCCCTCCTCTGTAGGAAGGCCTTTCAAGTATTTGAAACATTGTCATACAGAGGAGGGGCAGGATCCATTCTCAATCCTCCCAGTTTGAAAATGTAGTTTGAAATATAACTTTTTTCAAACACTGTATTTGAGAGCACCGTCTTCGAGAGCAGCCGCCTGATGGTACCAGCTCTCCTGCCACCTGCTCTGCAGCTCAGCTATCCGCCCATGATAATTTGCATTTTGTTAAGCGCTTAGGGCATATTCAGACTTTTGTTCTCTGAAATGTACCTGGGTTGACTCTGATGGTATCAGTATTTGCAATGTAAGCCTTTTCTAGGTGAAAGAGGGGGAAACACTAGCAAAGCCCTCAACTTCCCACGCTTTTTTCTCCTGTGCTGAAAGCTAGCTTCTTTGTGTTACTGAGTTTTGCCACAAGATGGACTTGAATGCTATGGAACAGCAATGTCTAATTTCCCAGTCATTTAGTGGGGGGGGGGAACCCCTGCCTCCCCCACAAAATAGCTTCAGTTGGGGGTTTCTTTTTTAAAATACGTTTTGTTTTTAAGGGTTTCCTCCTTTCCTTTGGAGAAAAGTGGGGTGCTCTGGTAGGCTGAAAAGCATGTGATTGCTACAGCAAGAATTTTGACACTCCTCCTAATTGGCGTGTTCACTCGTTGTGGTTTATGATTGGTCACGAAGAGGCAAACACGGGTTTTATTTGCAAAGACTGAAGGTCTCTGTCTGTGTCCTGTCAATGGAAGGCTAACAGATTTCAGACCCTAACAACACACAATCTGGAACGCGTACTTTGGCTCTTGACTAGTCGGTCATATCTCACTAACCTTCAAGAGCAAGCACGTGGATCATAAACACGGCTTATCTGGACTTTCAAAGGGCTTTTGACAGTGCCTGCTGATAAGGTCTCCTTGAGCAAGCTGAACGGTGGTGCAGTTTGGAAACTGGAAGGCTGTAGCAAAACAATGCTTCCACTACAAAGGGCAGAAGGCAGAGGGCTCATCCAGACACTGCATGTGTTCCTCTTCTATATACAGTACATGACTGTGTTGATCTATGAACTGTCATCCAAACAATATAAGGATTACATTGGTATTATAGTGGTACCAACAGTGACAAACAGTAACAAAAATTCTGACTTTCTGGAATTTTTTGAAGTCACACCCTGGTCAGTCATCCATTCATCCATTCATCCATTCATCCTTCCTTCCTTCCTTCCTTCCTTCCTTCCTTCCTTCCTTCCTTCCTTCATCCAACATCAGTTCCTTCCTTCCTTCCTTCCTTCCTTCCTTCCTTCCTTCCTTCCTTCCTTCCTTCCGGAACCATGCAATTTACTCCTTAGCCACTTTGTGTCCTTCGATGAATGCATTCCGTGTTAATTAGGTGCTGTCGCCCTGCTGTCAGTTATCTCAACATGAAATGACAGATGATGACGATGCCAACATTGCAGATCCACCTTATTGGGTGGATGTTGTTGCCCAGCCTATATTTATCTCTGCATCCTCTGGAAGGAAACCTGCAGATAGCCCATATCTCTGATATGCCCTGCAAATGCACTATTTGCCCCGCTTATGCTCATCTCCTCATCTTTGGAAAGGAAACCTGTGGAGGACACAAGTCTTTGATCCAGCCACAGTCCAGAAAATTGGTGGCAGCAGCAGCAGCAGTTTTTGTTTCTGAAGGTGGGAAGGCAAATCTCTTCTTTCTTTTCTTTTTTTTCCAGACTACTACATTTGGATTGGGAGCAGAGGTTCTAATGGCAGAAACTGAGCCTTGAGCTTCTCTCACATGGCTTGATTTGTAACATCCAAAGTGACAAAGTAAAAAAATCAGTATTTGGGGAGGGAGAATCTGATTTGAGCTTCTTCAATTTGCTTTGGACCAGTTGAGAAATAGACAAAAACCCCTGCTTTGCTTTGTTCTCCAAATAAACCCCAAAACCTGAAGCACATTCCTTAAGTGGATTCAATACTGATAGATGGTAGTTTTCTAGTGTCTCAGTCAGGAACCTTTCCTAGCTTTATGTAGAGATCCTGCTGAGAATGAAATTGGGGGATTTGCCTCCATAACATGTCCATCTGTCCATCTGTTTTTCTTGTCTTTCTGCTTGGGTCAGAAATTTCCAATATTAGCCCTTTTCCAAAAAATAAAAATAGGACAGATTTTTTTTTTTGAAGAGTGTCAAGGGTTTCTTCGCTGTTCTTAAAATGAGTTGTGAAGGAAAGCTGATAGTCAAATTAAGAGTGGGGTGAGATTCCTTTGAAAGGGGTCAGATCCATAGCTTTGGTCAGTCACGCTAATCTAACTTTTTTAAACAAAAACAGAACACACAATATCATTTTAAAAGTGTTTCTTTGAGCTCTTTGAAAAATTTTGGAACCATTCCTTTAAAATATGCTGATTTCTCAAAGAACGGTTTTTGGGAATAAGTGTGGACAGAAACACTGATTAAATCTACCCTTGTTTGGCACCAAGCAGTTCCCAGCAGAGAAGAACAACGATTCCATCCGGCTAAGCCCAAAGAGCAGGAATAAAAAGAGTTTTTGCACCGGAAGGATGAAAACCACGGGCCTCCCTCCAATGATTTATACTGGGGTTTGTAACTTGTCCATACGTTACCTGGAGATAGTACTGGATAGGTCTGCTCACAACCCCAAATTAGCCAATTTGATTAATGCAAAAAAGGGGTTGCTAAGACTTCCAGCCTGATCAACTCACAGTAGAAGAGGGGGACTTAAAATGGCAGTTATGGCTCCAGGATAGCAAGTATAAAGTACAGATACCAAAGCAAGAAAGGTTAAATTCATATAAGACAATGTCATTGGGGTGGTTATAAGTAACCAGGTGTGACAGGGCCAGGGGGTTACCCAAACTGGACCTACTCCCGCCCCTCCCACGACATGCAACAAAAAGCAAAACCAAAGTGTGCTGTTTGTATACAACCACATGGCGCTTAAGGCACTCTCTGGGCAATTTACAATTTTAATGATGCAGGCTACACCTTGCCCCCTGCCTGCATGCTGGGCACTCAGTTTACCGATCTCAGAAGGATGGAAGGCTGAGTGAACCTTGAGGCAGCTACCTGGGATTGAACCAGGTTGGGAGCAGAGTTTTGGCTGCAAGACTGCCGTCGAACTCCTAAGCCACAAGGCTCCACTATGTCATGAGGCACCTGGTACAGCCAGAGAATGAGGCAGCTACCTGGGATTGAACCCAGGTTGGGGGCAGAGTTTTGGCTGCAGGACTGCCGTCGAACCCCTAAGTCACAAGGCTCCACTATGTCATGAGGCATCTGGTACAGCCAGAGGGGAGAAGAGTCCAGCCCAACTTCAACAACTCCCTAACGAAGGTTCTTCTCCCTCCCCCCCAACGGATGGTGCTGTGACAGCAGGTACAGGGGAAGACAAGCCACCCACTGTTCATTGGGGTCATCTGAAGGGGAAGGAGCCAGAGGTGGGTAAGGAAGAGGGGACAAAAGGAGGATGGGTTGAGGGGTCCGGGGGGGAAGAGGAGAGCGAGGAAGAAGAGGAGGAGGTGGTCAATGCTGAGGTTGGAGAAGTGAAGGTGATCCAGAGTGGACAGGAGGGGAATGGGTTGTGCCTTGGGAGAGTGGCAGTGTTACCACCCCCTGAAGACCACCCTTCCTCACTCACAGGGTACGAGGTCTGAACTACCCCAACCCAGAAGAGGAGGTTGCTACAGAAGCACCTCCATCATGCCAAAGATTGAAGGACTGTTTCCCTAATGATGGTTTAACATGGGGAGAGTGTGGGCTCACCTATTGACCATGGGTTCCGATCGGGACGGGATACTGCCCGGTAGAACTGCTCCCAGGCCCATCTCTAAGAGCCCTCAGGACTTGGGGCAAAACCAACAGCTGGGGGTGGCCGGACAAGCGGCTGGACGGCGGAAATTAGGGTTAAACAACTGTCTGTGCATGGCTCCTACTGTCTGTCCAGTCACACCAGAGAAGGAATCGTAGTTTGTGATAGAGAACTAAAGTTGAACGCCTACAAGGCTGCAGTGAAACAATACTTCCAATACAAAGATGATTTTTTTTTGTTCTGTGTTGGCTAACAAGCAAAGCCGGAGACCGTTTTTGTACAATGTACATAGGTATTTATTTCATTTTCTTAAAAAATCAGGAATACATTACAAACGGCGTGGATCTTGAAAACTGCAGAGAAGCGGAATGACTCAAGCATATCAAATCGTGTTTTTTTAACAACAACAAAAATACGTACATGACTCTGTTTGTCCCTTGCTGCAAGCAAAATTTTCTACTCATGCCATTGTCAATTCATTAAATGCCTGCACCTTTCAAACGACCTGTTAATTAAAGCCAAGGATTGTGGTGTGCGGCTGGAATTCTTGGTGCTTTCTGAATCAGGAAGAAGCTTTCTGGGGGACCAGCAACCACCCAGTTTCCCAAATGGGCAACACCATGAATTAAGGAATGCCATGGCATATTGGAGATCCCATTCAAAAGCATGTCAGGGATCTTAACTTTCTAATAAATGAGAAGAGAGCCACTGAACAACCATCTTTTACAGATGGCACCACTCTACTTTGTTGGATCTGGGTGGTTAGAATGTCCATCTTTCACTGATGTACCTTACGTTGAGTTCTACCACAAGATACTTTCCTTAGTCTATGGATGGCAGTGTAATTAAGCAGCATTTTCTTCCCATATCAGCAGCACTACACAATGAATGTAGAACGAATGCTTACTGCAATAAAAGCTCCAGGCCATAACTCAACAAACAGTTAAGCGCTGTTAAGCCCATTGATTTCAAGCACCTGTCACTCTGTGTAGGACTAGAACTCCGCTGGCCTGGAGCTACCTGGGGATTTCTTTATCAATGCATTATTTACAGCAGCAACAGCCTGAAGCAAGACATAAACTGACATGTTGCACAAGCAGATTTATCAAAAGCTGAGCACTACACTTGTGACAGAATACGGAGAGGTATTTTTACAAAGCTCAGTGCTGGAGGCGGTGGGGGGGAGGAAGCCTCTCTGTTGTTGCTTGTTCTACAGAAAAGGTTGGCCGAGCTGGCCCATAAGACTTCAGCCTTGCGCAGAACACAGCGGGATACAGTTGTCCTGCAGAATCCCAATTCTGTACAAATGGATTTAGCCTGCGGAGCTAATAGGCAGCAATTGCATAATAGCCTAATCTACTTGGTGACCCTTGACCTATTTACAGAAGGAGCTCAACGTCCCTCGAACCCGTTTCCTATGAATGGGGAAGACAGCGGAGAGCTTCGAAGCAAAATGCTTGTACAACTTGATAAATGGAGGTGCACTGGGGCTGCAAAATGGCCTTTCTTGTGTTTCACCCATTTAAACCCATAAAGCCCGGCTCAAGAGAGAGTAAGGCCATAATTCAGCATACAGGGTGTACTAAAGCAAATACATCAAGAGCATACAAAGCAACCAGGAACAGAGAAGACTAGCTCAAAAGAGGGGAGAGAAATCCCTGCAGTGTTGTGTCTTGTCCTGCGTTCGCTTTTCTTTGGCTACTGAAGTCCTCCTACTGGTGCTTCTTTTTTAAAAAATAGTCCGTAGGCACATGGAAGCCCAGCATCTTTCCGCGAGAAACCCTCAAATGTTGTCCCTCTGCTTTATGTTGGAAAGCTTGACACTCTCCTCGTCGTTTGATTCGGGAGGTGGTTCGTCATGGCACCCAATCATCAGCTGGTAGACCATCACGCCGGCGAGGGCTCCCAGGAAAGGAGCGACAACGGGGATCCACCACCACTGCCTGCCGGTCCTGTTGGGATACAAGCCCAAGATAAGAAGGGATTAGAGATGAGGGCTGGGACAAGGCATCTTCCCCCAACAATGCAGTAGGAACATGAGCTCAAAGAAAAGCCCTCCTGGGTCAGCCCAGGAGGTAGATCTTGTCCAACATGCTGGTCATGCCATGGCCATAACCAGTGGACAATGGAAAGCCCACCTGCAGGGCATGACCATAAGTAGACCTTCCGTCTTGCATTCCCCAGCAACAGAGATAGAAGAGTGCTCATTATATTCATTCCTGACATGGTCAAAAACCCTTTTGAAGGCCTGGTGGTCCTCAAAGTAACACTCTCCATTCCACTTCCAACCATGTTGATCTCCAGATTGTCTCTCAGAAGGTCAAACAAGGATTTGTTTGCCATTTATGGTCCTCAGTTAATCATCTAGGCAAGACCAGGACTCTGTCTTGACATGAACCTTTGAGGATGTAGTATTAACATGCCTTTCCTTGACTGCACATACAACTTTCTAAAGATATTAAGAACCCACATTGTGGTGAGCTGATTTTTCAGTTGGGTTACTATGCCATAAGTCAACAACAGACGTTTCCAGCTGTTGTCGGCTTGTCCTAGTGAAAGCCATTTGAGGTGCTTAAAACTCATTGACATGGTTGAGGCAACCTCTCTGGGTACTTAGTCATATCATATCTCTAACCAACTTTAGAACTTAATAGGTTGCCTTATATTGCGTCAAACCATTGGCCCATGTTTAGACCAATAGTCTGAACTCTGATCTACAGCAGCTTTTAAGGTTTCAGCCAAGACTACCTGGTGGTCTCTCATTCATGAACTAATTTGCTTAAGCTCCAAAATGAGATTGGTACTTCAGGCTTTGATAAAAACCTAGAGACCTCATCCCCACCCACCCCAGTATCAACACAGTTGGTAAATAACTACTCTTGAAAGCATCCTTAAATCCACATCCTTTGTAAGACCGAAAAGTCATTCTGAAATCGTTGGTCATGAATGCACACTTAAGTAAAGTCATACCCCAAGGAGGCCCCCTTCATTACACCAAAATCACCAACTGTGAAAGTGCAATCCACTTACGTGAAAACTTCGGAGCCCCAACCAGCAATGGCGGTGAAGAGGCGAGGCCCGAAGTCACGGGCTGGGTTGACAGCGTATCCGGAGTTGAAGCCCATGGAGGTTCCGATCACGAGGATGACGAAGCCGATGGTGAAGGCTTCCAGTCCTTTGGGGACTGGGTTATTGTGGGGATCCACAATGGCCAAGATGCAAACGAGCAAAGCTGCCGTGCCAATGAACTGGTTGGGGAAAAGTCCAGAGAAAGAGATTAGAACGGGATTTCTCAGCCCGCAGAATCATCTTCTTTTTTTCCTGCTTTTTTACAGAAAAGTTGGCTTTGGAGTTTTTGCTTGCCAAAATAAAGTATGTTCCCACCAAACCTCTTTCCAGGAATTTAAGAACCTAAGCAGGGCTCTGCTGGACCAACATCAATGAAGTCTGGCAACAGAGCTTGGAAAAGCGACTTTTTAGGGACTCTTAAGTCCCAGAATCCCCTAGCAAGCTTGGCCAAGCTCTCTCTAGCCCCCTGTTTCCAAGAGGGCTGGCCAGAGACCCTCTCAAGAGATGCTCAGAACTGGAGAGCAAAGAAACAGGTGCCCAACTCTTGTTGTTTGCCCCTGCCACCTGGGGAAAGGTAGACTGCCTTTGACCATGCCGTTTCATTCAGCTATCATGGCAAGGGTTGAGTTCATGTTCCAGATTGTTGGCATTTTAGCCCTTTCGTGTTTTAGCACTGTCAAATAAAGCTTGACCACGGTATCTGCAGGAGGTTGGTTCGAAGCCCCCCAGCAGATATCGAAAACATATCGAACGCTATACATTGCGTGGTCTCTCCATCTAGGCCCTGTTTCCAAGAGGGCTGGCCAGAGACCTGTAAATACATATCTCTTTTTTATTTACTATTTTCAGGCAGTGGATAAGTCAGTCAGTGAATACAGATCCCGCTATACACTGTTGACATACCAAGGTATTTCCCACACAGGGACTGGCAATGACATTGGTGGAGTAATTTAGATCAGAGTAATGACGTGGAGGAGCGGATTAATCCTCTCTTCCCCAGGAGTGCTACTGCTTTTAAGTTAAAATTAAAACAGAAGAGGCATCGGGAGGGTACACATCTTCCATGTCTTCAAGGTGAGTCCTTGAAACAAGCCGTTGCTTTGAAACAACTGCTTGGGGCAAACACCCCCAATTCTTACCTGGTCAAAAAACCCATTCACGGAGTACAAGTGTTCTGATGGGTAGGTGGCAAAGATGCCCGCTGTCCCGTTGGCACCTGTAACTAACAGCTGGTTTCCAGCAAACGCCCAGATGGCATCTAGAAAAAGAAGCAAAGAGTGGATTTGAGCTTTGCTACCACCCCAGTTTACTCACCAGTTATTCAGTAGAGAAGCTTTAGTCTTACTTTGCAGGGCAATGCTGTTGGTGGAAGCAATAAAACCTTCTCAGTTCTACTGCCCTAACCAAGAGATATTTAAGCACCTGCTTAAGATACTGTCTTGCTTAAAACAACGACATTCAAAAGCATTTGTATAGGGCTTAGCCCTGATTCCTCTAACGAAATGTTGGGTTCCAGAGGATCCCATCCAAATGGGCTAAAAGAGATTCCATGGAATAATGTCATTTCCCTCCTCGGAGCTTGGAAAATATTTTAATTTCTACCTTTTACAATGGCAACTCCCAGAAAGGATAGGGGATGATAGGACTTGTATTCCCCAAAGTTAATTGGTCAGTTTCATTTTCCCCTTTAGCTCATTTTTTTTAAAACACTCAGCTTCATTCCATCCTGAAGATGTGGTTTCAGAGATCTGGATTATTTTTTAAAAACTATAATGAAAATTTCACCTATCTGCACTGGCTAAGCATACCGCTTTGGCGCATGGAAAGGAACAGGTTAGGCCACCTGGCCAGTTGGCTTGCCAGAGAAAAACTCAAGAAGGACAACGACTGCAGAGCATCTCTCCAGACAGAGAGAATTTTTCTCCTCTCTTATGTTTGCTGAATACAGAAAAATCTTGGCTCAGCCAGAACCTGTAGAACTAACATTCTGGACTACAAATCCTGAGAGCTGGAGTCTAGAAATGTCACTTTTCTATCCTTTTGACTCAGGACAGGGTCTGTGCATGTGTAGGTGTGGATTTGTGGTCCATTCTGGTTCCATGGAGCAACGGACTGAAAAAAGAAATTAGAAGGCCAAGAAAGATGGAGGGGAGATAGGAGAGCACTTTTCAAATACATGGAAGGTAGTCCTACAGAAGAGGGGCAGGATCTGTTCTTGATCATCACCCAGTGCAGGACCTGCAACAACGGGCTCAGGTGGTGAGTTCTCCAACGCTGGATGCCTTCCAGAGAACCTCGGACCGCCCTCTGTCAGACCTGCTTTGATTTGGGTTCCTGCCATGAGCCAGGGGGTTGGACTGGATGGCCTTTTGGGCCTCTGCCAACTCAACGATTCTCTGACCCCCACAAAGACCTGAGATCACCCTGTAGGACTGAATCACTTACCGTAGTATAAGCCAAATACGATGCCCGCTCCTAGAAATGCTCCGATGGTTTGCGCTAGGGTATAAATGGGCAGCTTGATCCACGGTTCCCGGGCCAAAACGCACATGGCAAAGGTGACGGCAGGATTCAGATGAGCACCTTTAAAAAAAAAAAATCACAAGATTAGAAACCGTTTTCCAATCCCAGTTGGGGTCGGGTCCTGATTAAGCTCCTAGCAAATCCTGGTTTCTTTGGACTACAGACAACCATCAGTGGCCTGTGTGGTTGAAGGCACTTCTGGGAATTGTAGTACTTTTCTCGAAAACTAACTTTCCCCGGCTCTAATTATTGCAAGGCGACACAACCAGTCCTTCAGGGCACAACTGCTGAATCAGTGGCAGATCAGCGTTGCTTCATAGGACATAATTAAACACAGCAACGTCTAGACAACGAGGCTGCCTCCAGGAAAAGGGACAACTTGACAACAAAGTAAAGGTGAAGGTGGAGCCGGAATTAATTATTTCAGTGCAGATTATTTTGGTCTTGATTTGTTTGTGCAAATTAATTAAATAAGTGTTTACAACCTTACACATTCCTTTAATTAATTTGCAGGATTCATTCATATAGTTTATTCTGGGGTGTTCTGCTCAGGTGGAGGAAGCTGACTCTGCACTAACTTCAGGTCAACTTTAGGAAGAACCTCCATTTTTTATCTCTTAAATATTGCCTTTTCATGATGTAAGTCACCAGGAATGTAACTTTTATAGGCATCCAGGCAGGACTGCTCTTGGTTTAGTCCATGCGTGCAACCAGCTGAGCACTTCACAGACTTGTGCAAGGAGGTACTTCCTTATACAACCACAACAAGAAGACAATGGTCAACATGTGTATGGGCAAGCTGGAGATCACACAGAACTTTGTGCTCCAGCTGCACTGCAACCAGTTGTAAGTTGCGGTCAGTAACTGCCATCATCTTTTGCATGCAAGCTGCTTTGAAAGACCATGATGGAACGGTTCAATAAATTTCAAAATGAAATGAAATACACGCTTATGGGAATGTTCCACTGGATTTCTTCCCAAGTAAGTGAGCATAAGAACACGAGAGAGGAACAAGGAATGTACACCCGTGTTTATTGAGAACACAAGAAAACTCATCTCATGGAGAGTAAACATTGCACGGGGATGGAAAGCCCCCTCTGCTATTGAATGAGGCCAAATCTTAACATATGTATGGGAGGGGGAAGTGATGTAAAGCTCACCATACATACCTGAGACCTGTCCGGCAATCAGAATGCCTAGTGTAACAGCAAAACCAAAGGCCAAGTTGACAGTCAAGAAGCGTCCATGGCTCCCTCTACTGAGCACAATCTGGGCCACCGAGCCGCAACCGAACATCTGAAAATAGAAAAGATTGTGGTCAAACTCCACTCTTTAGATGCCTTTGGCAGACACAAGCGTAAGTATTGTTCTATGAGCTCAACCAAATAATTTCCCTTCTATGCCAAGAATGTTTACAAAATGTACATCACTTGAAAAATTATGATCCTGCTGCGGAAATGCATTTGCTGCACAATCTGTTGCCTTGTATTTTGCTCAGGGCAAAACCATTTTGGTATGTTTCTAGCAGAAACTGGTTATGCATAGCACTGATTGCCCAGGAACTAATGACGTCACCAACCCACCATCTCCCTTCATGATAAGGCAGTTTTTCCAAAATAGGTTCTGGTTAGAGGAGGTGGGTAGGTTTTTCAATCAATGTACACATCTCACTTGAAAACCTATAAGAAGGCCAACACCCCACCTGAAATACGAGGAAAAGACAAAATGGGAGGCAAGCGGGTTCAACATTGAAGACTCACAAAACAGAGATATTCTTCATTTGCACATAGGCACAGTAAGTGCCAAAAGAGAAGATGGCTCCATCTTCTGTCTGCATTTGTCGGATATCCAAAATTTCGTAAAAGGGAAATAGAGACACACTGCTGTCAGCATAGAGGAACACAAATCATTGCAAGATCAACCATCCACCTGAAAATGAACAACTCCAACACTGGAGGCCTTCAAGAGAAAATGGGACCACCCTCCAGAGGTTCAGATCTGCTTTGATTGGGATTCCTGCCTTGAGCAGGGGGGTTGGTCTGGATGGCCTTATAGGCCCCTTCCTACTCCAAGATTCTCGGATTCTACCGGCTGCATGGGCGCCTAACCGCATCAGAAGAACCCTATCAGACCCATTTGAAAGTGCCAGAACAGAATCACGTTACATCCAAGCACAGTAGCTTTCTCCCTTGTTCGCTTCCTCATTTCCTGCAAAATCCAATTTAACATCAGCCAAGAGAGTCAGGCTGCCTAGTTCGGCAGATAATAAAGACATGTTCCTGGTGCATTTAAAGGTAACTGTGACCTTTGAGGTATGGGACAAGGGCATTTTACTGCCAAATGTGCCACATAAATCCTTAAACTTGGCAGCCCACATCTCCTTTGCCAAACTGGCTGGAAAACGGAGCAGCAGGACCAGATTGGCATGCGGTAAGGCAGAATCCAACATGTCTTGACCCCAGGACTTGAATGACCTTGGTGCATTGTCTGTTGCTATATTACGGTGGACTTCATAAGCAGGCCTACAGAAAAGAATTTCTGTTTGCTTGAGTTCTGGATGGCCCCTTACGCCATCCGGACCTGTTTGCTCTGCCCTTAATCTTTCTCCTCCTCCTTTCCCACCGGACAAGGTTTTCATTTCTTCTCGCCCAGAACAAAAGCCTCTGAATAGCTGATTGTCCTTAAACTTTAAACAAAATTAATCTTTGAATCAACACCAGATGCAGGCGAATGCACACACCACATGGAGGGACGCGCACGTAGAGAGTTGGAAGAGATACCTGGTACAGTTTTATGTTGCATTAACCCAAGAATGCCATTGCTCTGAATTTCCCATAAAAGAGGCTGACAGTAAGGCAGGTGTGGGTAAACCAGGATTTAATCGCAGCAAGCAGGGTTGGTTCAAAACGGTCACGCAGTCAAAACTTGGAATAAAGTTTTGTCAACCCTAGAATCATAAAATAGTGGAGTTGGAAGGGGCCTGGAGGGGCATCGATTCCAATCCCCAGCTCAAGGCAGGAATCTAAACCAAAGCAGATCTGACAGTTGTTATTGTTTAGTCATTAAGTTGTGTCTGACTCTTCATGATCCCATGGACCAGAGCCCGCCAGGCCCTCCTGTCTCCCACTGCCTCCTGGAGTTGGGTCAAATTCATGTTGGTTGCTTCGATGACCCTGTCCACCCATCTTGTCCTCGTCCCCTTCTCCTCTTGCCTTCATACTTTCCCAACATCAGGGTCTTTTCCAGGGAGTCTTCTCTTTTCGTGAGATGGCCAAAGTATTGGAGCCTCAGCTTCAGGATCTGTCCTTCCAGTGAGACCTCAGGGTTGATTTCCTTCAGAACGGAGAGGTTTGTTCTCCTTGCAGTCCAGGGGACTCTCAAGGGTCTCCTCCAGCACCACAGTTCAAAAGCATCAATTCTTCGGCGGTCAGCCTTCTTTATGGTCCAGCTCTCACTTCCATACATCGCTACTGGAAAAACCATAGCTTTGACGATGCAGACCTTTTTTTAGCAAGGTGATCTCTCTGCTTTTTAAGATGCTGTCTAGGTTTGTCATTGCAGATGGTTGCCCAAGAAGTGGTGACCTCCAGAAGTGATGAGCGCTCCAACACTGGAGGTATTTAAGAAAAAATTAGACCAACCGTCTGTTAAATCTGCTTTGATTTGGATTCTTGCCTTGTACCAAGGATAATAGGACTTGATGGCCTTAGGGGCCCCTTCTGACTCTCTTATTCTTTGATTCTATAAGATGATAGTTTTTTCTCCTGGTGCAGTGCTCCACCTGGCACACCATCAGGGAATTCCTTGGGTTTGCAGGTCTCTTACAGCATCGTGTGGGTACGGGGAACTCATGGGAACTACTCCGTTTGACAACTATTGAGCACACACTGTCCTTTGTGCTGAAGTCTTAATACCTGTTAAATACCTGCAAATACCTGTTCATCCAGCTATGCTGAAATCACTCAGCCAGGCAATCTATCACAAACAGCCAGCGACAGCGGCAAAGGGCATGGAAAGGCTGGCACGCCAAGGCACTTGCGCCCAGAGCTCTGAGCTCTGAGGTCCTTCGCCAGGCAATCCCTTCTCAAATACAGGTCTTGCATTTTAAAGTTTAATGGGAGAGTCAAAAATCTAGTATTTTAGAATGGAGCAGACTTCTGCCAGGAGGGAAGGCCAGATTAGGGGACCATGGGAAATGGAACTGTCTCTTCATTTTGCTGAGCAACAGTGAGAAAGAGGTGGCCCTCTTAAAATTTGGGAGCATTGGGAGAAATAGTTCTCTTTCTCTGGGAGAAAAGTGGGAAGATGGAAGAAGAAAAAGAGAAAGGCAAGATTTTTTAAAACTAGGAATAAGGTTATTTTAGCTCTAAGTTACAGTTGGTGTCCAAAGTGTTACATTCTCTTTCTCTGGGAGAAAAGTGGGAAGAGGGAAGAAGAAAAAGAGAAACGAACAAGTTTTTTAAAAAAAGGGATAAGGTTATTTTAGCTCTAATGATGAGATACCTGTAAGTTACGGTTGGTGTCCAAAGTGTTACGGAATGTTTATGAACATTCCAACTTCAAAGGATTAAACAATAAATGGTGTTGGACTGAAGCAGTTCTATGGACAATGGAGGAGGTAGCTCTGTTGACACATCAAATAACACAATATTTATTTGCATAAAGCCCTGGGGGGGGGAATTTTCCCCCTAAACCAAGAAGGTAGAAACGTGATTCAGGTCGGCTTTCACATCTGAGAAATCAGATTTGCAGACCATGAATGTGCTTGTGCCTTGAAGGTCAACCGAAAAACAAAGCTATCTAATATGTGAAATCCAGAGGGTGAGTAAAGCTTTGCTGTGACAATCAACACACAATGGGTGCTTAAGGAATTCCTTCTTCTATGGATGGGTTATCTATCTGTAATGTATTCTTCATGCCCCCTGCCAGCTCCCAAAAGACATTTAGCACCGTCTGCTGAAGCCAGAGGTCTTAATCAACACCTGAAGAAGTTTGTAAGAGCTGCCTTTGTTCCCCCCTTTACATTCCCTCCTTTAACTTAGCACATCTCTGACTTGGAGGAGTACATTGAGAAGACAGGGAAGATTATTCTTGGAAATCTATGTTCTGTTCTTGAATTTGATACCTCCTTCATCTCTATGTGACTTGACAGAATGCTCTAAAATATTGCCCCAAGCTGGTTCAATTTTGGAAACAATTTATATGGCTCTTCCTGAAAGTTTAAGCAGCCCCGAGAAGAATCAGATCATTTCCTCTGTGTCAGGAAGGGTGCCGCCCGACCAGGCCATCTTAACTACGAACAGCATTACAACACGCCACGGCCCCCAGATGCTTGCTTTCAAGCTAATTCTCTGCGAGGAATTAGAGCCTCTTTCTTTCTTTCATCCTTCCTTCCTCCAGATGCCACCGCAGAGGATGATCTGGACATTTACGGCAAGAAGAGGGAAAGAGAGCCAAGGATTAAGAAGCTTACACTCAATGACTTCCAGACAGGACTTCCTCTTCTCCTGCCTGGGAAGCAGAAATACCGGCCAGAGAACAAAGCAAAGCTTCTTACGAGGAAACCAACGGGGCTGATTCAAGAGGGAGAAGGTTAGGATCAGCACAAATCCATGGAGTTGGCCAAATGGCCAGCCTGACATGTGCCTCTTAACCCTTCCCAGTCTGCACACATCATCCTCATCTACCCCTAATCAAAATGGGCACGGCTTCAGTTCTTTTTCAGCAACACTGGGGTCTCTTTTAAATTTATATTGTTGGCCACGGTCCGCCTGGAATTGCACAACAGATGGGTGTGTATGTCTCTGCGCTGGCCAGCTGCCGTGCCCTCAAACATACCTGAGTCTCTGACTGGGTTACCAACTGGTTCACAAACACAACGACATCGCCGGTAACCTAAGAACTGTGAATATCTCTTGCAGAACTCTCTTTAGGCAGAGGGCATTTCATAACAGGTTTTTTGCCGCTTTATATTACTTCCAGAGCAAATGGGAAGGTGCGCTCTGCAAAATGGCACCATTTTGAGATTCTCTGTGATACGGTGTGTGTTTTTTTTCCTGATGTGTAGATTGCATCCGTAAAGCAATTCAACAGAGAACAAGACTGGTTTTTCCCTGTGCCGGAGCACAAGCTACACACAAGGTGAACTGGGGGGGGGGATATACTGGGTTTAGTAATCCACAGCAAGACAAGGAGAAACTGAAACACAATACCACCTGGAGTTACGCTGCAGCTCCAGGACTTGTATATTAGTTTCAGTATGTGATCTCGTGGACAGCCAGAATGACAGTCCTCGG